AAGAAAGTGTCTTTATGGCCCTCAAGCCTTACAGGTTTGGAAAGCTGTCCAGCCTCAGAGCTTGGGATTTCTCATCAGTGATGTGGGCCTCAGGTGTGTGAGGGGTTACTTCTGCCTTCTCAAACTTCCCTCCCACCGCTCCCCGTTCCTGTGAAAGAGGTCCTGCTCATGGTCCCTCCTAGAGGCTGGCACTTGCAACTAGGGACATTTGCAAAAGGAGGTGTGAAGCTGATAACAGGTCCTTGTTTGGCCCCAGAGGGAAGGCAGCATGCCAAAGTACAAGTGGCCAACTCCACCCAGGACTATTTGCTGGGTCTGCCCCGGAAGGCGTGGCAGCCCTGTGAGAATGAGGAGGTCCGGGGCTGAGGGTGATGCTCAGCTGCTGAAGTACCAATCTTGTACGCTGGAGGCCTGGGTGTCGTCCCCACTCCCGAAGCTTGAGCGGTGACAGTTGTCTGTATCCCAGTGGGAGGTGGAGGCGGGAGGATCAGAAGTTCAAGACAATCAGGCTGTATGAGAATTCAAGGCGAGCCTAGGCTACATGAGACCCTTTTTCAAAAAATAACCGTCTCTTACACAGTTGGTATATGAGTTATTAACAGGTTATGGCATAGTTTTGTGTTTCTTGGTTTGTCCTGCTTTTGTCAGACTGGGGATGGACCCGGGGCCTTGTACATTCTAAGATCACACTATCCAATTGAGCTACATCCTCAGCCCACTTCTTCATACACATATTCGCAGTTAGTGTGTAAGCCTTTGTCCTTTCTGAGGTAGTGCCTCACATATCCCAGGAAGGCCTCAAACTCTCTGAGGATGACCTTGAACTTCTGATCCTCCTGCTCGCACCCCAGGGTGCTGGGATTATAGCCATGCATCACTGTGACTGGGTTTTTTTTTTTTTTTTTTGGTTTTTCGAGACAGGGTTTCTCTGTATTGTTTTGGAGGCTGTCCTGGAACTCACTCTGTAGACCAGGCTGGCCTCGAATTCACAGAGATCCGCCTGCCTCTGCCTCCCGAGTGCTGGGATTAAAGGCTCACTGTGACTGGTTTTATGGAATTCTGAGGATTGAATCCAGGGCTTCTTCACGCTAGGCAAGTACCCTACCAGCTGTGCTATGTTGCACTTGTAAGTAAGTATAACGCAGTAAGTCCCTGTTTTGTACACAAATAAGTCTCTTACACTTACTTATGGTTTCGTTTTTATTCCATTTTATGATTTATTGTGTGTGTGTATATGTGCTGGTGTGTGTACTCATGGCATGTGGTAGTCAGAGGACAGGTGGCATGAGTCAGTTTTCTCCTTCTACCTTGTGGGTCCCAGGGATAGAACTCAGATGGTCAGGCTTGGCAACAAGCACCTTTATCTTCTGAGCTATCTTGCCTGCCCTTATTTTGGGTTTCTGTTCCTTGCAACAGAAAATAACAGTAATCAGCTCATGAGGAGCTACCCTGGTGACAGCTGCTGAAGTAACCAGACCAGGGCTTAGAGGTGCGCAGAAGAGGAGCCTCTAGCAAAGTTCACTCTACTTCACACATGCACCTCTACCCAAAGACACTCGACCCCTCCCACAGGCTTCAGCATTCTTCTCAAAAGTGATGACTCCAAGTTCAGAGGGCATGGCAGGTGCCAACATGTCCAGTCGACTGATGTGCCTCATCCAGGGCAGGGCACTTGGTGCCCTGGTGCCATTTGGTCTCTGGAGTCCCTGAGGCATCCCCCGGGAGGCCTTGTGGCTTGACTGGACCCCCTGCCCACTGCTTCCCTGACTCCTTCACAGCTGCCGGCCCTTGAACACCTGATACCTCCATTAAAATGCTTACAGTCTTCTTCCCATCAAATCCCAGCTCTCCCCGCCCCCCCCCGCCCCAGGCCGCCATGTGCTCATTCACCCATTCAAATAATATTCTTAGAGGACAGGCTCTGAGTCATGGTGGTGTCCAAGAAAAACTGGGAGACCCTTGTGAACTGTTAAATGGGTGGCTCCTGGGGACTCTGAAGGAATGGAGGCTCTATTTTTGTTCTTGAAGGACCCTGGGGATGAGTCCTGGGGCAGAAACACATGTTGATGAAGCTTTTTCCAGTACCAGGTGAGGGCATGAGGACAGGGACTGTGGTCATCAAACAGCAGGGCCCTGGGTGCACAGACTAGACCCAAGTCCCTATGGTGTCCGCCCCCTGAACCTCACTCCTTATAAGATGGGAGAATGTATCAAGAAGATCCCAGCCACTGGGCTGGTGAGGTGGCTCAATGAGTAGGGTGCCTGCCTCCAAGCCTGACAACCTAGGCTAGATCCCTGGCACCCACAGACTGAAAGGAGAGAACCCACTCTGTACAAGTTGTCCTATGACAGCCACGGGAAGGCTGTGTCATGCCCCCTCCTGCAAATACATTAATTTTTAAAAAGCAATAAAAAGTCAATATTCTGGTCATATGCAAATCACATACATTTACAAAATAAAGACAGGAAAAGATGGCTTATCTGCATATCTGTCCTCTCTATCACAGACTAATTGTGTCCCAAAAGACTGAAAAGTCAAAGCTCAGAAATTCATCCCTATCCTCCCAGCAGGAATCAAAAGGCTGCCTCTGCCCTCCGGAGAGAGGTTTTTGCGGTCACTTGCCACACACTTGGGCAATAGCATCTGTATTTCCTTTTCCCTCAAGCTTGTTACAGCCCAGAAAGTAAGACATTTTTAGGTTCTCAGAGCCAATATTCAACAAGCCACCTCCACTTGCTGTTTGGAAGGTGTTCCCACTGATCTTTGTGCTTGCTGGAGCACTGAGGGTCTGGGTTGCCTGAAGGCAGGTGAGTGCCCCCTCTCTGATGGAATACTTACTGTTATTTCAGAGTTGGAGCACAGGGAGAAGCCTCACAGAACCTAGGGACAAATCTCAAGGAGCCAGTTGGAGGGGAAGGGGAGAGAGCCCATAGAGAAGCGTGATACAAACAATCTGGGGTAAATTGGCCCCACACAGGTCACACCTGACAGCTCATCAGTGACATCTGAGCCCCTGCCACGTGCCTGCCTTTGTGGACTCCCTTTCTCTAAGCATTAGCACGTGGTGCAAGCTCACTCGGAAGCCTTCCTCTGTTCGTGGATACTACAGTTGCTGTGCTGCCACCTACCCATGTCCTGGAAACCTCCAAAGTCATGTTGTCTCCCCATCCCCCACCGTTCCCATAATAGTTTTTATTTCTTCGGGTTTTGTCTGTTTGTATTTCTCAACAGGGTTTCTCCATGTAGCCCTGGCTGTCCTAGAACTTGCTCTGTAAACCAGGCTGGCCTCGAACTCACCTGCCTGTGCCTCCTAAGTGCTGGGATTAAAGGCCTGAACCACCACATCTGACCAGTTTTTACTTATTCAGTGATATTGGCTAGTGTTACTGCTCACCCACTGGTCATGCTAGAATGGTAGGAGCCTCTGGAAGAGCTGGGTCGTTGGCGTTCTAGGTGCTCTCTCCTTGAACACACATACCTGTCATGGTCCCTAAGGGAAGCTTAGTGGTCAGGACGTTCATTACAGAGTTCTTTAGCGTCAACATCGGGGAGAGAGGGAAGGATAGACAGGTGATTGCTTCTTCCAGTTTCTCCATGGGATCTCTGGGGCTAAGATGGCCTCTGCATTGTCACACATCCAAAGAGATGGGTGTGATAGCCACAGGAATGTTGACTTGGAGACATGTGACTTCCAGGAACATCCAGTGCAGCAGAGGTGGTCCCTGAAGAGGCAGACAGGGAGTGACACAATGGTTCCTCACAGAGCGGCAACTTGCAGCTGGAGAGATAGCAGAGCCAGCGTGGAAAGGAGGACTTGTGTATCTGTGCAGTCTTCTCCAAAGACTAATTCAGTTACTTCCCATAAGCAGAAGGGATGCCTTACTGAGGTCCGAGGGCAGCCATCACTTGTGGGTCCAGCTTCCTACCTGCCAGTGCCCACTGTTCACACTCAGCCACACTCACCTTTCCAAAAGCAAATTATAAACAATGTCAAAACCTTAAAGGGCCAGAAAGACGGCACATCGGTGGCAGTACTTGCTGCCTATCCGGAAGACGTTAGTTTGTGCCTCAGACCGGCATGGTGGAAGAAATGACACCTGCAAGTTGCCCTCTGAACTTCACACACACCAAGGTACAATGTACCCCCAGGAGACTGGGGAGGGAGAGAGAGAACTGTAAACTAAAAAATCCTAGGGAAGCAAGTGGGGAAGACAGTGGAAAGGCCCCGTCACCTGTGCTTCTGTTGTCCTGGCCACTACTTCACCCCATTTCCTAAGCTCTTCCGTAGGTCCCACAAGCCCAGCTTGTCAAAGCAGGGTTGTCACAAGCATTGTGGTCTCCGTAGCTGATTTCTTTTCAGATGCTTCTTAGGCACATCTGGACTCCAACTAAGTACTGCCTGGGCTCTGAGTAACAGGGCCAGGAGTCTTTATTTGATTTTATTGAAAGGTCTGCATTTCCGTGACTTAATGTGTAGCAGAAAATGACCTTGAACTTGTGATCTTTCTGCCTCCACCCAAGCTAGGATTACAGGTCTGTTCCATCGCACCTGGGTTTAGAACCTAGGGCTTTGTGTATGTTAGGCGAGCAGTGAACTGCATAAACACCTACCCATGGAATTAAAGAAAAAAACACTGGAGAGAAAAAGACCATAACATCAATGTTTAGTGCACGGAAAAACAAAAGCAACGTTAAGGGGACCCAGAGTGCCTAGGTACTCCGGCTACTGACAACCTCCCCGTGGCTCTGGGATCTGCCCTGGGCTCAGCGTTGGGGCTGAGAGGCGAGCAGGCCGCAGAAAGAGTGGCCATGTCCCCAGGGTCAGCGGCCAGGAGCTAGCTCCCGGAAAGGCAGGGGAAGGCTCAGCCAGGTGCGGCCCAGCGCCGCCCTCCTGCCGCTAGCCGTGGGGGCGGACCTGCAATAACCACGCCCCAGAATGCCACGCCCACCTGGGGCCCATAAAAGGCACCGCCCGTTGGCAGCTCGGGTTCGAGTGCTGCTTTGGGGGTGGACTGCTGGCAGCCAGCGTCGCCGCGGTCAGCTCGGTGCCACGCCCCGGCCGGTGCTGCGGGAGCCCCAGCCATGCTGTTCTGGCACACGCAGCCCGAACACTACAACCAGCACAACTCTGGCAGCTACCTGCGGTAAGACCGGACAGCACCTGCCTGCGATCGGATCGGGGTCAGGGCGCCGAGGACCAGTGCGGCCTCCAGGGAGGGACCCTCCGGGAAACCCCAGTGGGGTTAATCGGGGAGGCGGCGCGCTGGTGCCGGAGGGGCGACTCTCCGAGGTCTCCCTGACGCTCGTAGCGTCCCCGGCCCGGTCCTGCAGCCTACCCTCTCCCTTCTCCAGTTGGAGAAATAAACTTGCTACATCCATCAGGAGCTCGTGTGTCCCGGGAAGCCAGGCCCCGCTCCTTGCTCTTCGTGGCCGGCGGGCCCACAGGTGGGTGGCGGGAGCCGGTCTGCGCTGCAACCTTGCGGGCCCGGGCTTCTGGAGGCTGGCCGTCCCTGTCATGGTGAGCTTGGTGTGGCCCCCGGGTCCCGGCTTCACCGAAATCTGTTGCGGGGATTTCTCTAGCGCGCTTCAAGGGAAAAAGGTTCCGCAGAGGGTCCCGCGGGTTTCCCAAAGTTCTCTGAACTCCCTATTTCTGGAAGTAGACCCCACCCCCACCTCCTTGGCTTCGGTGACTACGGGATTCTTTTTTCCACCCTTGGTGCAGCTGACTGGAGGGCTAATAGGCAGGCATTTCATTTTCTGAACTCGCTAAAACCAGCTTCAACCTGCCTTTATTCCATCCAAGTCACAGTTTATTATATGTGCCTTACTTAACCAAAAAGGTGTTGGACATGGGCTCAGGAAAAAGTAAACTGGCAAGCAAGCAGAAGTCAGCCCCAACTACAGAACCTTAATTGCGTCTTTGGACCCCCCCAAATGTCCCTGCTTGGATTTTCTGTTATTTGTACTTCCTGGCTTCTAATTTATGTATGTCCAGAACTCTGGGAAGACATCCCCTTCTTAGAAAGCCGAGGGCTGACCAGGTTTCCCTGGTGTATGTTCAGCTTTTGTTTGTTCTAACGCTAAGTCATAGAAAGTGGCAATCAATGGGGTTTTGACTGTGTTAAGGGTTATGCAAAGCCCACAGTTAAAATGCTACAGAATAAATACCTACTAACCGCACAACACTCCAGCGGCACTTGCAGCTTCTTTTGAATTGTTGTGAATGGCCATTAGGTATCTCATCCTGTCTTAAAAATGAATTTGAAGGTGACCTTGAGCTGCAGTAAGCGTATTCGAAACCTGGATGCATGATCCTGTTAGGGGTCAGTTTTACGGGAGAAGAGGTGTGCTTTTTGCATCTGTGCCTGAGATGGTAGTTTGTAAGCCAACCCTGATACTTTTAGGATTTGGACTTTGCATGGGAGGAGGAAGGCAAACATTGGGCTGAGAGCCGCTGCAAACCGCACTGGCTCCTTTGAGGAAGCGATGGGTGAAGACAGTTCATACTCCCCTCTTGGAAGCTGGTTCATTATTTTTTTCTTTTTACTTCCAAATAGTTTGACCTCCTTGAAGGCCTGCGCCCCCATGCTAAAGTGAGGATATTTTTCTTTGTTTTGCTTTTCTTTCTCTTTAAAACTTTTTAAAATTTAATGTTTTTTTACAGTGTGGGATGAACCCTAGGACTTACACTTGTTCTTCTGTTTTGATAACTTCCGGTCCTCCTTTTTATTATTATTATTATCATTGTTCTACGAAGTTCTGCAAGCCATCTGACTTCACCAAACAGCTAGTGAGTGGCCTTCAAGTCCCTCCCTCTCCTTTCTGTTTGATGTTCTGGTAACTTTTATTCCTTGGCAAATAAGGACACCAGGCCAGAAACAAGTTAGTGTTGAGTGACAGTTCTTAACAAATCCCCCCCCCCTCTTTTTTTAATTTAAAAGTAACAGTGCATGGATTATTAACTTAACATGGTCTGGACAAACATGAAATTATGCAATTCCTAGGTGAGCAGGACGGCTTGCTCCTTCCTGAGCTCCTTAATAACTGCCCGGGCTCCTCTCTCTCTCTCTCTCTCTCTCTCTCTCTCTCTCTCTCTCTCTCTCTCTCTCTCTCTCTCTCTCTCTCTCTCTCGTGTGTGTGTGTGTGTGTGTGTGTGTGTGTGTGTGTGTGTGTGTGTGTGTGTGTGTGTCGGTCTCTGTCTCTCTCTGTCTCTCTTTCTGGGCAGCAGACAGGAATAGCAGAAGAACCCACGCTGGGAAGGTTTCCCAGGTGTGCCCAAAGGCAGGCTTTCTGAGGGTTTGTTGGACACTGTTGGGGTGTGTGCTGGTTTATATTTTGTGAACACTCATTTATGATGCTGTACAGGGAACACATAGTACTGGTAACTGTGCAGTGAAGTGAGGTCAGCTGATCTGATTCATAGCCCAGACCCATGGAGGGAGGAGGGTTATCAAATAGGGCGGGACACCTTTCCGTAGCTGTTTCTGTGGCAACATAGTTTAGAATCTTTAAGCAGGTCTTGCCTGCCTGCTGGTCATTCTGATCCTCAGAGATTTCATTGTTCCTTGCAGACTGAGGTAAGACAGTTCCTTGAGTCTGGGAGTTCAAGGTTAGCCTGGCAACGTACCGATACCTTCCTGAAAAGTCTAGAAACAAGTTTCTCTGTCACAGGGTAATTGGAGGCTGATGTGTACATGTATGCTCATGTGTGTAGGGACCAGAGGATTACCTTCAGTATTGCTTTGTTTTTGTTTTTGTTTTTTTTTTTTTTTGAGACAGCATCTTACTGTCCTTACTGTAGCTCTAGCTGTCCTGTAACTCTCTATGTAGATCAGGCTGGCCTTGAACTCAGTGTTCTCCTGAGTGCTGTGATTAAAGGTGTGGGTCACTCTGGCCAACTGGTCTTTAGTGATGTTCCTCATGTACCATGCACTTTGTTTTTTGAGGCTGGGTCCCCTACTGGTCTGAAACTTGGCAAATAGGCTAAGCTGGCTGGCCGGTGAGCCTTGGGGATCATCCTGTCCCATCTCCCCAGCACTGGGATTACTAGTGTGAGCTACTACACTCAGCTTTTGTAGGCTGTGGGCTATGGGACTGATTTTATAGGTCTTCATGCTTGCATGCTTTTCTGACTGAGAGCTCTCCCCAGGCCTGGGCTAATGTTTTTGGTGGAGGGAACATTATTTAGAGGTGAAGGAAACAATTGTGAGGTTTTTGGTTTTTGGGTTTTTTTTTTTTTGGTTGTTTGTTTTGGATTTTCTTTTTCTTTTTTTTTTTTTTTTTTTGAGACAGGGTTTCTCTGTGTAGCTTTGGAGACTGTCCTGGCACTCACTCTGTAGACCAGGCTGACCTCGAACTCACAGGGATCTGCCTGCTTCTGCCTCCGGAGTGTTGGGATTAAAGGCATGTACCACCACCGCCTACCTCAACTCTGAGTATTTTAAGATTTGCTGCTTGGGTAAGAAAACTGAAATCAAGGTTTTCTATCGTCATAGTACTTTGGAGAGACCATTCTGAGCTTTAAAACAGGGACTGTGGGCTGGCAACATGGCTTAGCAGGTAAAGGTGCTTGCTACCAAGCCTAAAGACCTGAGTTCAATTCCAGGAGTCCATCCCTGTGGTAGAGGGAGAGAACCAACTCCCCTCAAATCCTCCCTTGATCTTGGTGTTAGCACACGCCGTGCACTTGCTCACATGCGCATACGCCGGTGGGAATACACACATTTACAAATAACTAACTTACTAAATAAACACATGTCAAAAATAAAAAAAAAACACACGTAGAAAATTTAAAAGAAGCCAACAGACAACAACAAAAGCCTAAAACCCCAAGTGCAGTGCACGCCTTTAATCCCAGCACTCAGGAGACAGAGGCAGTTGGAGCTCTGTGAGTTTGAGGCCAGCCTGGTCTACAGAGGGAGTTCCAGGACAGCCAGGGCTGTTGTAGTCTCCTACCCTGTAATTAAATAAATTTAATGTAAAAAAAATAGATGACTGTTCTCAAAGATGTTTGAGTGAGTACTTACAGATAGAAAAGAAGCAGGTGCCCCTGTTGGAGCTACAGCTCAGTGGTACAGCACTTGTTTAACACGGACATGGTTCTGGGTTCAGCCCCTGAGCACTGTAACCCTCCCCCCAGAAGAAAGGAGAAAAACAAAGAAGTAGCTTTCTAAGAGAAAAAGAAAGAAATAGCTGCCGGTTTCTGTTGCTTAGTTTTCAGACACTTTCCCTTCTCCAGGCCTTGGGTGACTGGATCTCATGAGGGCCATTGAGTGGGGCCAGGACCATGCGGTAGTGGTTGCATCTGAGATTTGGGCCACGCGGGTGAGGAGCTAGGTCAGCTTGTCTCACCCTGGATTCTGAAGTCATCTTTGGTACCATGGCCTGCATCCATCTCGCCTGACATTGCTCTGAGTTCCTGGGCTTTGCTTCTGACCACCTGCTTCCTGTGTTTTACAGCGATGTGCTGGCTCTGCCCATCTTCAAGCAGGAGGAGCCACAGCTGTCTCCTGAGAATGGGGCCCGCCTGCCGCCCCTACAGTATGTGCTCTGTGCCGCCACCTCTCCTGCAGTGAAGCTACATGAAGAGACCTTGACGTACCTCAATCAAGGTAGAGGCCTCCACAGGGATGGAGCCTGGTGGGTGGACAAGTGGGGGTAGTTAGCAGATGGTGTGTAAGACCCTGTTGGGCCTCTTTTAGCTGTGACATGGGAAGGAGCACAGACTTAGGGGTCAGGCACAGGTTCCGACTCTGTAGCGTAGCTGTGTTGTGTGGCTTCCCACACAGGACTGCCATGACTTCACTGGGTAAATGGAAATATTGCAAACTGAGCTAGGAGTAGTGACATGAGTCTGTAGTCCATAGGCAGCGGCAGCCTGAACTCCATGGGCAGAGACAGAGGCAGCCTGAACTCCATGGGCAGAGGCAGCCTGAACAACAGAATTAGACTCCTGAAAAGGAGGGAAGTAAGAGAAGGCCAAGTGCGGGTCATCTTGTAACATCCCTTCTCAAGATTGCTATTACTGTTTGGTGCTTTTGTTAGCTTTTGGCACCTGGTCTGCTGTCCTTTTCATGGGTGGTCCACATCCTCCTCAGCTCAGGGTCTGGCTTCCACCCACTGGAGAGCAGTTGTCCTTGGCTGCCCAGGTCACCATGACGCCAGCACCTATTTCTTATTCTCAGTAGTGATCTCTTTTTTTATTTTTTTTATTTTGAGATAGGATTTCTTTTTGTAACCCTGGCGGATCTGGAACTTTCTCTGTAGACCAGGTTGGCCTCTAACTCACAGAGATCTGCCTGACTCTGCCTCCTAAGTGCTGGGATTAAAGGCATGTGCCACGACCACCTATCCCTCAGTAATTTCTTGTGTAAAATAAGGAAGTTTAGTTTGGGGGGTGGTGTTTAAAAGAGTGAAGGTAAGCCGGGCGTTGGTGGCGCACGCCTTTAATCCCAGCACTTGGGAGGCAGAGGCAGGCAGATCTCTGTGAGTTCGAGACCAGCCTGGTCTATAAGAGCTAGTTCCAGGACAGCCTCCAAAGCCACAGAGGAACCCTGCCTTGAAAAACCAAAAAAAAAAAAAAAAAAAAGAGTGAAGGTAAGTGATCTGTATGATGGCAGTCACTAGTCCTTCCGGTTTTTGTTTGTTGTCTTTCAAGTTGGAGTCTTCCTGTGTAGCCCAGGCTAGTCTGGGACTCAAGATCCTCCTGCCTCAACCTCCTATGTGCAGAGACTGTGGATAGGCTTGTACTCTGTGTCTAGCTTTCAATACGCCTTTAAAGTTTTTTCATTTCCTTTATGTGTGTGTGATTACATTATATATGTGTATAAGTGTATGTGATTACATTATATGTATATATATGTGTGTGATTACTTTATGTATGTGTATAATATGTGTGTGATTACATTTATGTATATGTATAACTGTATGTGATTGTGATTACATTATGTGTGTGTGATTACGTTTTTGTATATTTGTGTGTGTGTGTGTGTGTGTGTGTGTTTTGAGGAGCTTGTTCTCTTTAACCATGAGGAACTCAGGTCATCGACTTGGCAGCAGAGGCCTTTGCCCAATCAGCCATCTCACCACCCCCATGTTCCCAGTTTTGAGTGTTTCGTTTGTCAGACACAGGAGCCGAGTCCTGGTGAATAGGGTTTTACTGGTCCCTGTCTTGATGACAGGACTGTATTTAGCACTGCCTCCTGGATTGCCTCAGAATGAATCTGGTTGCCATCACCCAGTGCACTGGTTCCTCTTCTGCTGTGAGCTGGAATCTGGGAGAGGCAGGCCTGAGCCCTGGTAGAAAGCTCTCTCCTGGGCAGAGTTGCCTCTTGGGTTTGACCTTGCCCACGTCCCTAGCTCACAATGAATGGAAGTGACTGGGCTACTTCTGCATGGAATCTGCCCATTATTGCTGGTGTGTCCCCGAGGAAGGCAGGGTTCACCCCTGTGGGCCGAACACTCACTACTCCATCAGTGGTGGCTGATGGCCATTGATGGCAGGTGACAAGCCAGTTGGAAGCAGTCCCTTGTGTGTTTGCACACTGGCTTCTGTCATTGTCCTTTCTTACTTGTTGAAGGTTAAATGCTGCCAACTTCTCTCTGAGTAGTTTCTTTCCTCATCAGTCCCCCCGCCCCTTGCTTAAACTTGAGAGTGAAGGAATGAGGCCACTGAGCTGATGTGGGTCTTGTTTGGGGCCATGCCCCATGTGAGCTGATGAGTGAGCAGTGTGAGGTCTTGCTGCCGAACAGGGACATTGTGTGTTTGTCCCCTGCCCCCATTTTAAGGCCTTTCTTTGGTTGTGTTCATTGTGCCCCTCCCTATTATTTAGTGAACAGTAAAAAGTGTTTGATAGCATACAGGTCTTCCTAACAAGTTTAAAAGAGAACATCTTCTCCATCATAGATGTTAAAGGGCCCATCCCATGGTTCCATCTGCCTGCCTGTGTTAACTTGGTATATTTCCTATGGACATTTACAGATCTATTTATTATTTTACAGCAATGGGAGTTGAGTCCAGGACCCGCTGTACAATAGGCTAGTGCTCTAGCACAGAACCATGCTCCCTCGTTCCCTGCATATGTGAAGCTATGCATTCTTTAATATTATGAGAAAGAGTGTACTTGTGGACCTCCTGTCTAGACTGATGAGTAATGTAATAGATGCTCATTACAGAAATGTTCACTGTTCAGAAGATAAAACTGTTCAGAAGGGCTGGGACCCAGCACAGTTGCTTGAGTGCCTGCCTGGCAAGAAGAAAGCCCTGCTTCTGACCCCCAGCACCTCATAAACCAAGTGTGGTGGTACACACTTGTAATCCCAGCTCTCTGAGATGCAGGAGATTCAGAAGTTCAAGGTCATCCTCGGCTACATAGAGAGTGAGGATAGCTGGGGGAGGCTTGAGACCCTGTCTTTAAAAAGAAAGAAACGAAGAAAGGGAAGAAATTCTTAGAATTATAGTTTTTAAAATGAGTTATTTGGGCTTGGTGTAGTGGCGCATGCCTTCAGAGTTTGAGACCAGCCTGGTCTACATTGTGAGTTCTGGGCCAGCCAGAATTACATAGAAACCCTGTCTTTAAGCCGGGCGGTGGTGGCGCATGTCTTTAATCCCAGCACTCAGGAGGCAGAGGCAGGCAAATCTCTGTGAGTTTGAGACCAGCCTGGTCTACAAGAGCTAGTTCCAGGATAGCCTCCAAAGCCACAGAGAAACCCTGCCTCGAAAAACCAAAAAAGAAAAAAAAAAGAAAAGAAAAGAAAAAAAGAAACCCTGTCTTTAAAGAAGTGACTATTCACATTCTGTGCTTTCATCTTTGTAGTAACTGCAATATAACAATATCCATACAATATGCTTTGCTGCTAATTTGCATGTTTCTGCCAAATTAAAATAGTATCCAACTGAAATTCAAGTAACTGGAAAACAAGAGCAAACGGCAGAAAATTTTTAAAAATGAAATAAAACTTAAGTCCTCTCTAACATCCCTTTTGTGTGTGTGTTTATTTAACCCATGTATTTAGTATGGGGGCACTTTCTTGCTATGGCACACACACTGAGGTCAGAGGGCAGCTTTCAGAGGTCAGTTTTCTCCTACCACATGGGTTCTGGTGGTGGGAATGGTCGGACTGAGCTATCTTGCCAGCCTAGCCACTAATCATCTATGGTTTTTTGTTTGTTTTGGTTTTGGTTTTTTTAATTTTTATTTTTTTTTCAGGGCAGGATTTCTCTGTGTGACAACCCTAGCTGTCCTGGAACTAGCTCTGTAAACCAGGTTGGACTCAAACACACAGATATCCACCTGCCTTTGCCTCCCAAGTGCCTGGGATTAAAACCGTGTGCCTCCACTGCCTGGCTGTCTATGTATTTTATATATGCATCTTTTAAAATTGGAATAATATGTTATGTCAGTTTTATATTGTTGTTGTTGTGTCAGAAATTGGACATCGAAGGGCAATGAGATGACTCAACAGTAAGGACACTTGCCACCAAGACCACCCTGCGTTCAATCCCCAAGCCCCACACAGTGGAAGGAGAGAACTGGTTCTGAAAGGTTGTCCTCTGACATGGCATGAGCATGTGCACACACACATACAAATAAATGTGGTTTGTTTTTGTTTGTTTTTTCAAGACAGGGTTTCCCTGTACAGCTTTGGAGCTTGTTGTAGAACTAGCTCTTGTAGACCAGGCTGGCCTCGAGCTCACGGAGATCTGTAAAGGCATGTACCACCACTGCCTAGCATAAATGTAATAATTTTTTAAAAATTATCTTTGAGGACTGGGGATAAGGCTCAGTGGGAGAACACTTGTCTAGAAATTAAACATTGATAAACATTCTAGTGTGTACGGCTTGATTTTTTTAAGTTATAAGTAACAAATAGAAATATAGCATTAAAATGTTATACATTATCTTCTTGGCAGACTGTCTCATATGCTACCCAGCCCTGTGTATCTCATGGTCTCTCCCAAAGTCAGGTGTTGCCAATTTTCACGTGAGATTTTGGCTTTTTATTTTTTTAAATAAAAGTCATTGTGTAGTACCTTAGTTCTGTTGCTGTGAAGAGACACCATCAACAAGACAACTCTTGTAAAAGAAAGCATTAATTAGGGCTTGCTTAGCATGTTCAGGACCCTCAGACCTTACAGGCTACACTCCATTATCCTCATGGAGAGCATGGCAGTCCGCATGGCTAGCCTGGTGCTGGAGTTGAGTGCTACATCCTAATCTGCAGGCAGAGAGACATTGGCTTGGCATGGGCTTTTGAAACATCAAAGTTCAACCCCAGTGACCCGCTTCCTCCAACAAGGCCACACCTCCTGATCCTTCTGATCCTTTTAAACAGGGCCACTCCCTGGTGACTAAGCATTCAAATATATGAGCCTATAGGGGTCACTCTTATCCAACTTCCCCAGCTCTCCCACCTACACATACAACAACACTGGGTGACTGATCTCACCTTCTATCTTGTTTGAGACAGGGTCTCAGTTGTTTGCCATAAGCTTCTGGGATTCTCCTGTCTCCGTTTCCCATCCACCATAGAAGAATTGAAGTTACAGATCCTACTGCTGCCCTGCTTTATGTGGGTTCTGGGGATCCAAACTCAGGTCCTCTTGCTTGCA